AATACTGAATCGAATGTTAGATGACTCTCTCCTTTGTGACACAAAAATACAGAATTTGGAATGAAAATTTAGATTGCGATACTTACCAATCCATGTATAATATATTTGTGTGTCTTTGATTCACTTTATTATCAAAGGAGCAAGAAACATGAGCTCAAAAGTTCAATTAGAGAGAATACTGATGTTAGATGACTCTCTCCTTTGTGACACAAAAATACAGAATTTGGAAATGAAAAGTTGAAGCAGTACGTACCCTTGCTGCGACATCCAAGGACTTGCGGTATAACTCATTACCTGGATCCTAAAAACGGAAAAAAAAAAAGAAAAGAAAGAAGTTGGTCTCACTACACTCACAAGTCACAACAATATACATATTTTCCAACTGAAAGATGTACCTCATTTTCAGCTCTTTGGAAATATTCAGCAGCTTTGTCAAAATGACCCTTTGCTTCATCGATATCTTGAATAAGAAAAGCCTGGGAAGTGTAGGCGTTCCCAAGACACCAGAGAGCCTCATGCTTCCCTGGATTTATCGTCAATGCCTCTTCCAGCTTCGATATAGCATCTACACAACACCATCAATAATACATAGTTTCAATTATAGAGCGATTAAAGATGTGAGCAAAAGATCGGTTTTGAAGGAAAACTCATACCATTTAACATCTGCTTTGCATCAGGAACAGTCTGAAACTGAGAAAGTTCAAGCAATGCTCCACCCCACTTCACTAGATTCTGCGGAAAATCAAATAAAAAATCCGCAAAAGCATTCTTAAAATAACTCAATATCCAAAATGCGCTCGGTAAATGCAATTTCGAAGAAACCTATATCAATCTCACCGCCGAAACTATATAATTTGCATTGAAGTCATAGCTTTCTAATTCAATACACGACAATTAAGAGTGAATTCAAGACACAAACTATATACAGTGATTGGTATCAATCAATGCAGAGTAAACATCACACAAATGAAATCTAAATGACAACAATAAAGTAATCCATAGCTGAACGATTGTAAAAAACCATATGCAATCAAGAGGAGACTACAAACCTCGGAATCGAGAGGATCGTTAAGGTACTGAGCTTCGGAAGCTTTACGAGCATGCTCAAACATGAGAAGCCTTTCAAAATCGGCGGCCGAGAACTCCATCGCGAGGTGCACGGGGGAAGAGAAGCTAGGGTTCGGTGGTTGTGTTACAGAGGAAAAGTAGAAGAAGAAGAAGATCTGCAAATCAAAATTCGTCCAAGGGTTTTAGCCTAAACGTCGTGGATGGATGTTTGTTACCAACTCATAATTGGGCTTTCACTTTCTTATGGGCCTTATATGTCCATTAATTTAATAGCACATCGAAAGGCCCACTAATGTGTTCGCCGTTTAGGGTTTCATATGTGTCCACTATATAAATTAAAAAAAGGATCTCCGACTAAAGAGATCTCTCTCTACTCGCTTCTTCCTCAGTTCCTCTCTGTTTGGCGGCCATGGTAAATGCTTTAACACTCTCGTTACCAAGTTTTCGTCTTTTTACAATCTTCGATTCTTTGCCTTATGCTCTTCGTCTTGTTATTGTTTGTTTCTTCAGGTGAAGTACTCTCAAGAACCGGACAACTCCACCAAATGTAACAACTCTTTCTTAGTACCATCAATTCTCTCATCTCAGCTGCTATCTCTTGATTACTGATATAAATGGTTTCCATTGGCATGTTTTTTGCAGCTTGCAAGGCAAGAGGATCCGATCTTAGGTGCCACTTCAAGGTAAATTTCTTGTACTGACTCCGAATCTCGAAAATGAATTTAGAATAGGATGTTTCGTGATTAGAGCTCTTGTCATAAACCTGATTAACAAAAAGCAGGGCTCTGTTAAAAACCATAACAGACCTCACGTAAATGTCAGGGAAATCGAATTGGTCATCGTGATTGGGTGAACCTACGTTTCTTCTTATAGCTTAATGGTTCAGTACATGATGGTACATTTAGCTATCAATCATTCAGTTTTATAGATTTGGTCATGATAGCATTGAGTGCTACCACATTCTTGCTCTGCTTTTTAAAAATGTTTATAGCTGTTCTTGCATCGAAGTTTGCATTTTTGTACGATATGTTTGATATGCTATAGGGTGTGGTTTCGTTTTGAAAAAGGTTTTGATTTGGTTGAATCTAATAGAGTCTTTCTTCTTGTTGTTGATTGGTGTGAGCAGAACACGAGGGAGACAGCGCATGCGATAAGGAAGCTGGGTTTGAACAAGGCCAAGAGGTACTTGGAAGATGTGATTGCTCACAAGCAAGCTATTCCCTTCACACGTTTCTGTCGTGGTGTTGGACGTACCGCTCAGGCCAAGAACAGGCACTCTAACGGTCAAGGTCGTTGGCCTGCTAAGTCCGCTCAGTTCGTTCTTGATCTTCTCAAGAATGCTGAGAGCAATGCTGAGGTAATTCGACTCTTTTGTTGCTTTGTTAAATTGCTTTGGTGAGTCTTGTTACAAGTTGCTAACAATCATTAGTAAACCATATGAATATCAGGTGAAAGGTTTGGATGTTGATGCCCTTTTCATCTCTCACATCCAAGTGAACCAAGCAGCTAAACAAAGGAGGAGGACTTACCGTGCTCATGGAAGAATCAACCGTATGTTTTCTTTCTTCTTTTATTATTCATTTCTTTTTCTTCAACTTTTTTTTTTTTGCTTTTCATAGTCTTGATCAGATTGTATTTCTTTGCAGCTTACATGTCAAACCCATGCCACATTGAGTTGATTTTGTCAGAGAAGGAAGAGCCTGTGAAGAAAGAGGTACTTAATGCGCATTTCTATTCTTGATTTTCAGCATCACCATCTATCCATCTGTTTCTCATCATTTTTTGATAAATTAATTGCAGCCGGAGACGCAGTTGGCGGCAAAGTCAAAGAAGGGAACTTCATCTTGAACAATCTATTAGACAGTCGTTTTGTGCCTCATCTTTGTGACGCTTAATACATTTTGCTCGTTTCTTCTCTTTCTACAAGACGAGGAGCCTATTTAAAAGAGATAATGATTTAAGGATAATCGTTTTTTTTTTGCATTTCCCCGATGCGTTACTTTACATAGCTTTTATTTAATAACCACTACATGAATATGCAAATTAATTAAGAGACGTGACAACAAGTCAATGTGTTAAAGTCATGATTTTTAAATTTGAGAACACTCTGTCAATTTTCTATACTTGAATGTAATCCAAGTGATTACGAAAGTCTGTTTTCTTTTTTTAATGATTGAAACGATTAAGCGAAATCGTGAAGAGCGTTTGAAATGGTAACGGAGTCGTCGATCATTCCCGGCCTGACGGACGACGCAGCGGAGCTCTGCCTCTCGCGAATCCCTCGCTCCAGCTTCCGGATCCTTTCTCAGGTGTGCCGGAGATGGAGGTCATTCCTCAGGAGCGAGCATTTCACTGTCGTTCGGAAACTGACCGGAACGGTAGAGGAGTTCCTTTGTGTTCTCATGGAAAGCCAGTGTGGCAGAGACGTCTACTGGGAAGTTTTCGACTCCTCCGGGAACAAACTGGGACAGATCCCTCCCGTACCTGGTCCTCTTAAGCGCGGTTTCGGCGTCGCTGCGCTCGATGGCGGGAAGATCGTGTTCATCGGAGGATACACGGAGGTCGAAGGCGGCTCCGGGATCAACAGCACCACAGTCTCTGCTTCGTCCGATGTTTACGAATTCGATCCTGCTTCTAACAGGTCTCCATTCTCAATCTTTCTCTCCTTCATTCATCATTTTGTTGGTCAAAAGCAAACCGAGGGATTTTCTTACTCAACTAGAGCGATTGGGTCTTGTTGTTTTGTTGTGATTTCTTTGTGTCTTGTCGGAATTATATGAAACAGGTGGAGAAAGCTAGCGAGCATGAACATAGCACGTTACAACTTTGCATTTGCTGAAGTGGGAGGGCTCTTGTATGTGGTTCGAGGCTTTTCAACAAATGCTTATAGCCTTTTCAACGCAGAAGTATACAACCCAGAGACTAACCAATGGAGCCTTATGGCTTGTCCAGACCGAGTCTTCTGGCGTGGATTTGCATTCTCCTTTAACTCCAAACTCTACGCTCTAGGTTAGGAAAATTAAGAAATGCCGGATAAAATGAACATGTTTAGAAACTGATGATGATCTTCTTCAGGGAATGGGGCGAGGTACATGGACATATATGACCCGAAGACGGAGACGTGGGAAGAGATAAACACGGAGCAGTTGTTGTCGGTTTACTCCTACACTGTGGCGGGGAACAAAGTGTATTTCATGGACAGGAACATGCCGGGACGTCTGGGAGTGTTTGATCCGGAGGAGAATTCGTGGAGCTCGCTGTACGTGCCTCCGAGACAAGGAGGTTTCTGGTTCAGAGTCGGAGTATGGAATGATAAGGTTGTGCTGTTTTCAAGGGTTTGTCGATATGAGACGTTAATATACTACGACCTCGATCAACATAGACGCCCCAACTGGAGAGTTTGTGATCAGATTAAACCCTCTGCTTCTCACTTGAGCAGTGTTGTCATCAACTTTTGATCTAACTCCATTCTTTTGCAAATTCCCTCCCTCATGTGTTTGTTGTGTGTGTAAATATGTTTTCGATATGAGACGTTAATATACTATGACCTTGATCGTGAGAGACGCCCCAACTGGAGAGTTTGTGATCAGATTAAACCCTCCCAACCAAACCTTGTTTCCCAGTTTAAATTTCTCATACATGTCGGACCACTAACATGTGTACAAGGAGAATAAATACTTCCTCCTTCTGAATAGGCTCATATCTTTGTGCTTCTGAGTTGCAATGAAATTTCGAGAAAAGACGCATAGTAACGAAAACGAACCAGGCAGAGGGAAAGATCTAAAACGCAAACGTTTTATTACTGATTTCCTGTGTTCTATGAATGTAAAAGTCTGAGAGAACCCCTATCTAGTAGTGTATCTATAAGCCTAAGTTGTGAGAAGAAACTAATCTTTACATGTAAACATTTCTGTACAAAAGAAAAGAAAGATTTAAAAGTCATCAGCGCGGTGGATCTCACCCATGAGAATGCGATTGCTAGCGACTTTGAAACCGAGAAGAGCTGGATCCAGCTGCCTCCCTTTCTTCCCTTTCTTCTTCCCGCCTCCTTTGTTTCCTTCGCTTGTTGCATCAGACGATGCCTCTGCCGCCACCTTCTTCATGCTAATGCTACTGCTACTACTAGTCTTCTTCAACATCTCACTGAAGGACGCCTCCGTCGTTGACCCTTTGTTTCCCGCTACTGCTCCTGTTTCTCGTCTCCCACCTCCTGATAACAGATTTGTATACAGACTTGAGTCTCCTTTTCCCGATACTGATGCATAAAAGAAGACAAAAGGAAACTTGAGGTAGATTAGATACCTTCAGGTGTCCTGTCAGGCAATCCTTCATGGGAAGACGAAGAATGGGAAGAGTGAGGCCTTCTTAGCAATACTGATTCTTGCCCATGTGATGGCACTACCAACAACCTACACACAAACAAACAAACAAACAAACACACACACACTCTCTTAAGTCTTTCATCACCAGGAATATACAAAGAGGTGGTATATGAGGAGTTCACGTTGCTTATTTACTGGTGCTAAACATCATAATTTAAACTTACCTATCCTTTCTTCTATCTTCTCCAACCAAGTTGTCACCGTATGGGTCTGCAAGCAGGACAATATCAGGACCATATAACTTCAGGGAAAACGAAACCCTTAAACATCTGAAAGATACATACCAGAAATATTGAAAGAAGACTGTTGCCCATGAGTAACAACAGGACGCTCTTTCTGAAGTTGAACCAAAGAGTCCATTCCTGCTTGCTTGCCCATTCTATCTTGGGCTTCATATGACATCCTTCCCATTCCCTCATTTTTTGGTGGCACATTGTTCCAACTTTTCATCTCATTTGCGTCTCTGTTCATACCTAACATATTACTCAAGCCTTGACTTTCATTCTGACTTGACCGCCCACCATCGATACTTCCAGAACGCAAGGAACTATTACGGTGCAATGATCCCATATTGTTCCCATCTCCTGGTGGTAATCTGTTTACCTGTTCATCAGAAAACGCCTGCGACCCAAAAATAGATGGATCGTTTAGTCTACCACCACCATGGTCTGAAATGCCGCGGCCTGAAGGACCCATCCTGTCATAAGCTTCCCCACGGTTCATGCTTGGTGGCTCAGCAGATTGATGGCCGGGTCTCTGGTGGATCAACTCCATAAAAAGCTGCTTTGACTTGTCGTCTGTTGATCCATCTACCATCCACGAGTTGGAATCCTCACCCAGTCTCCTCATTTCTGACCTCATTTTGTGATGCTCAGCATCAATATTTGATCTATGAAATTGAGATTCGGCCCAGTCACCAGCTACCTGTGTGTCTGCTCCAGGCCAGCGCTCCTTCGTTGGTTCCAATTGTGAAAAATGTGATTCACCTAATGGTAAACGGTGATTCTGATGAGTGAAACCCGGAGTAGAATTTCCCAATCTGCCAGAAGATTGCATGTGAGCAGTAGCATCCCGCAACTCCAGACCCTGAGAGAGTCCAAGACTATTTAGTCTATCTAGATTCAGCCCCGATGCACTAACAGGTAAGGATGCTGATGGATCAAATGGAAGACCCTGCTCGAATAATTCTTGCCGAAGTTGTTGCTGATATGAAAGGTTCTGCTCAAGTTGACCAAGCTGATCCTCGAAGGGTGGCCTCTGCTGCTGTTGATGAAAGTCTAATGGTCTGAATCCTGCAGAAGAGCGCGAACGGTGGATCCCAGGATGACTTCTTAAAAGCTGATCATTATGGTCAGATGGCCATAGAGGGTCAATATGTCTCTGTTCCTCCAATAGTGTATTGTGCCTCCCTCCATTTGCCAATTGCATCAACTGCTCTTGCTGCAGCAGCTGGTATTCCAAAGAATGGCTTGGTTCAGATTGCAGTTGTCTATGCTGGGATTGCATTTGTCCGTAATGAGATTGCATTTGTCCATATTGAGATTGCATTTGCGTTGAAAGCAGCTGTTCAAGTAGCTCCCTCTGATGGCCTCCATGTGACTGCCCAAAATTTCCTGCGGCAAGTTGCTCAATGTGTGGCGCGAAATTTCGTGACTGATGGCCAGAGCTTCTCTGCAATTCATTCATTAGCTGCTGCTCTAACAACATCTGATCAACACTATTGGATCGGGGGAAATCACGTAACTGATGGCCAGAACCTCTCTGCAATTCATTCATCAGCTGTTGGTGCTCTACTGATAACTGATCAACATTGTTGGATCGACGGATGTCATGTGACTGATGGCCAGAAATTTTCTGCAATTCATTCATTAGCTGCTGCTCTACCAACATCTGATCAACACTGTTGGATCGAGGAAAGTCATGTGACTGCCCAAACCTTGAATCAGGAGTCTGTCCTTGTCGAATCTGTTGAAAATGTAATTGTCGAGCTTGGGACTGTTGTTGTTCCTGTAAGAGATTCTGATGTAATTGATACTCTTGTTCCATCTGCCGCTGTTGCAACTGAATCTTTTGCTGCTGTTGCAACTGGAATCTTCTGCTGATGTTGCAACTGGATCTTCTGCTGCTGCTGCAACTGGAGAGTTAATAAATGCTCCAGATCCTGAGTTTGATCCGAATACTTCTGGCCATGTACTGAATGCAACATCATATCCCGATTTTGGAATTGTTGTTGGTGATTTGATGGAAGTTGATTCCCAAGGTTAAAGCGGTTGGAAACATGTTCAAACTGCGACATCCGGTTAGCACTTAGAGCATCGAGGGACATGTTGGAGTCAATTTGTGTATTTTTTAGGGAATCAATGGGCCAATTGTCTATTGAACCAGCAGGCTCCCCCACTGCATCATCAGACCTGTTTGGTAACAGGTTAACTGCTGTACTACTGCTCTCTAGCTCAGACCACAACACACCAAATGGGTGCAGCTTATTCTCATTCTGATATTGAGTAGCAGCCTTAGTCGATTCAACAGGAATAGCAGAGTGGCCAGAAACTCCTCTTCCTGGGAATAACAAAAAACATTGTTTAGTTATGATGAATACAAAATAAATTAATATGATCACGAAAGCTTCTATAAAAGCATATGAAACCCTAAAAAAGGAATGTTTTCACCTGCACAAATGCACACAAAAAAGGAAAAGTTTAGCAGCATAACAAACCTTCGTCCTGAGCAGAGAAGTGCAAAAAACTCTGGTCCTCAGCATGTGGTGGTTTCACATAAACCTCTGACTCAGACTTTCTCTGAAAATTATCATGAGCTGAGGGCTGCTTATACACAGAACCATTAGATTCTGCCACAGGTGCAATTGATAAACTAGCCTCTGAAACTGCTTTTGAACTCGTCTCTACTAGCTCACTCTTTTGATCACTGATATGTGCATGGACACTCTCTGCCTTTAAATATGACATGACACTGCCTAGAGCTTGAAAAGGAGTTCCTTCTGGAGCATTTTCCAAGCGAACCTGTAGGTCTGTCCCAAAAAACCCTTGTTCAAACCATGAAATAATGTCAGAACCAACGAACGGTCCCTGAACCACTCCTTGAGGATCAATATACAAGAACATAAACTCCTCAGGTGGCATAACCCCTTCTGAGTGATTTACTTCGATATCTGGTTGATGCAGCTTTCCCATGTAATCTAGCTCAAAAGAAGCAACAGGGGGTTTTTCAAAAGCAGATCTAACCGCTTCAGGACTTCCATGAGAAACTTGATAGTTAGCTCCAACAGATCCACAACTTTCAGGTGCCACTGAATTCAGTCCTCTATTATGACTAGCAGGTAATCCTGCAAAAATAATTGTTTCAGAATATATTTGTCACTAAAAATGCCAGAAAACTCATTAGAACGGACCTTAACCAAATAATATATGATATTAAAAACCCGAGTAAGACCTAATATGCATTTACCGGAATCACTATTATGCATGGAACCATTGTCACCATTCATAACCCCTAGCAAAGCCCCATCCACTTTTGTCTCACTCGAGTCATGTACATGGCTTTTCACTGCAATAACATCCAAAAGACCAAGGTCAGAGAGGCATTCGTTATAAAATGCGAGGTGGAAAGAAAGAGGCCAAGAAAATATAGATAAAATAACATACCCAGACTATTTTCACCTAAGGATTCTTCCCCAGATGAAGTGTGAACTTCGCTACTGGTGATCCTACCCTTCCATATGCCGTTAAGACTTTCCTAATAGATAAGATTCCCGTCAACAGACACACAAAATGTCAGTTACAAAGAAGAAATAGAAACATTAATAACATACTTATGGAAAAGGGCAATGGAAACAAGTTTTCAGTGGGGAGAGTACCTTTTCTGCAGCATCAGGTGCGATAAAAGCAAGAGGTTCGATCAAAGCCACTTGAGTAATGGAGGCAACTTCCTCCATCTCAATTGGTATCCTACCGAGGGAAGGATCAGGCTTCTGTGTTCTATACAAGTCAAGCAATTTACCCCTTTGATACCGCAACATATGGCTTTGTTTACCAAGAACACTTTCATTTCTTAAGAAGGCACCAACACCGATTGAGGTAGTTGAAGAACCTCTCCCAAAAGAAGATGCCCTTCCTCGGCCAACTGTGAACCCTAGATTTGGGCCCTCGGTTCGTCCTCTATCAAGTCCAAACCCAGGTGCAGCGCGATAAGAAGCCGGTGCACCAGACTGCTGGGATTCCATCCTATGACGTGGCCTCCATTTGTCACGAGGGTCAGAGTCCCGTTCAGAAATTGCACGAACGCTGCCAACCACAGATTGACTTTCAGTCTGAGGCTCTTCCTTGTCCTTGTTGTTATCTACCTTCTCAACACGGGTTTCTTTCTCTTTGTCGTCAGGACCCCACCGAGATGACCATTTGTTGTCGCGTCGAGTTTCATGTACAGCAGCACGAGAATTAACATCATTCCACCTATCAGAAGAAGCAATATTTTTACTGTCACCGGTTTCTCTGTTTGAGACATTGTCAATGCGACGTTCTACTTTCCTTCGATCCCCTTTCCTAGCACTGAGTAAACCAGTTTCCCGTTCCTCTTCACGCCATCTGCGACTTGTTTCATTCTCAGGAACAATCTTCCTCCGGTCTTTCTTGTCTTCCGGTCCGTCCAAGCGCCACGCATCCTTCAGATTTGGGTCACTTGGATTTCCCATGGGCACTGGAGTTGGAGATCGAACATCCTACAGCATAGAAAGAACATCAGAGGAATGGACAATGAGTATAAAGCGTAAAAATGTTACAGTGAAACTGCAAAACTCATCTAAAATCTAGATATTTTTGGATATGAATTGATAAACTCAACTACAAGTAGATCATCTTCCAATATGATAAGGTGAAAAACAGAAAATGATAGTGTTTAGCCCTTGATTATAGATTACCATCTTGCTCTCGCTTGATTTCGTGTAAAGCCACTGCGGAGACAACGGAATGCTGTTCTCTGACGCCAATTCTGCAGAAAGAAATCAAAAGTTGAAGTAAACCAAAGAAAAAACGAGCATATACAAAGTCAAAAAACCACTAGCGCCCGAACTAAAGGCCCGAACAAATCATTTGTTCTTCTTTACAGATCTAAAACTCTGGAATCGGCGGCAAAATAAAATTCAATCTATCCCTCACTAATCCAAACATGAAGTTGCTAATGCATCTGTACGCAGGGAACCCTAAGACAAAGATAACCAGATAGATAAAGATAGATTGATATCGAAGAACCCTAATCCGCATACATTAGGTCAAAATTTAAGCTATGCCTGCCGCATCCTATGCAATTCAGATCCGGAAACCAAACGATACATTGTTTCTCGATATTCAAATCGGTGGAATTCAAACATCGAAACGAAGAAAAAAGCTTGAGGATTAAGAGGGGAGAAGAAGCGGGAAGTACCTTTCAACTGATCAGACGATTTCGACAAGATCAGATCGTCAGGCAGATCGAACTTCCCTTCGGCCATGGCAGGATTGAAACAACCGACTTCGAGAGAATACGTAGAAGGAGGAGATGACCGAACGAGCGAGGGCAGTAGAGAGGAAAGAGGGTTTTGGAGAGATTGTACGGAGACCTTATTGCTTTTTGCTGGTTTTCGATTTGCCTTTGAAAGAGAAAGCTTTCGCGTTGAGATCGAGAGAATAAGAGAGTGAGTGAAAGGGGCGATAAAGGAAAGGCTAAGGAAGCCTTTCGTGGGCACAACACCTTTTTTTGCCCAAGTTTTTTTTTTTTTTTTTTTTCTTAAAGATTATCATTTTGTATTTATTTTAGTAAGAGTATTTTACAAACTGAAAATTCCAGTATTTTTTAATAAGAAGGATCAATATGTTCTCACAATAAATAAACTAAACTTAAAAAAAAAAATATTGAGGCGAAATATTAAACCTCTCATTCGGATCCAGAATAACCGATAACACTATAATTCGATCTTGTTTCTGTAAGGCAGTAAGGATAATAGTATTTGATCTTGTTTTTGTGCTTCAATTGGTCTTGTCTTTTTTTTTTTTACATTTGCTTTACGGCTTGCTTTCTAGATCTTTTATGTGTTACTGTATGATATTTTTGTTTTCATCTCTTCTGTTTTTATTTTGAAACCTTAGAAATTAATGAAATTTAGTGTTAAAACGACAATTTATCCATATTCCACCCTAAACTTCATACTTTGTCTATCACCCAAAAACGTGATCTGTCTAAAATGCGATAAATGCAATTTAATGAAATAACCACGATTTCAGTTGTTAATTGAATATACTGGAGATATATAGAAAAAAAAAATTACTTCTATTAAAACTGTATAATAACAAAACACTAATTTCAACATCATAAAACATATTAACTCATATGTTTCTAGTTTCAATAACAACTAGGGTTTGACCCGTGCCCTGCACGGGTGATAGTTTCTGAATTTGTATTTTTATTAAAAATTGTTTATTTAAATATTTCGACATTTTATGCGAGAGATTTTTAATCTTTGTTATTCGTTTATAGTATGAAAATTAGGCATTTTAATCCATTTAAAAAAAGAAATAAATTAAAGCATTGATCGTAACCACAGATTAAATATGATAGATTTAACCGAGATACATAAAACTCAAATAACTATAATATAATAAGATAGTTTAAAGAAAAAAATTGAAAATAAAACATTATTCTTTAGAAAAATTATACATCATGTATTTCATAAGATAAAAAGTTTTAGCTGTGTGGACACGGATTAGAACTAATTTTTTTCTTTCTTTCAAAACTAAAACATGCTTTATTATAATTTCAAAACAATCCAACCAATCAGAAAATAATATGCAGAATCCAAATTGTCAAAACAGCAAAAATATAATTAATTTTGTATAGAAAGTTGAAACAGATAGAGTAATATTCAAAAGTTTAATCAAAATAAAATATTTATAAAAAGAACTTTTTTATTCGATTTATTATAGATTTTAATTAAAAAACCATATTAAATGAAAAAAAATACATTTGGATACCTACTAAATGAGGTTATATACGAAACAATTTATATTATTTTGTTTTTAAAAATTCAAATCATAACATGTACAGAAAAAGTTTTAGATTTTTTTGATAGATTTTTTATATTGTGATTCAAATTATTTTATTAAATAAATTTAAACAAAATGATAGAAGATGTATACTGATTTTAAAAGAAATTATTATGATGGAATTAAATTGAATCTCATATCTTCCTTATTTACTAATTTTCGTAGTTGCCAATTAAGGAAAGAGAATGATAAATTTAATTTCATTATTTGGTTGTAAGCATAATATGCAATGGCATATATTGTAATTTGTCTAGTAAAGCTTGTCTTAATTAGAAATTGCTCTAAGAGTGAACCTAGTGATGACACCTAAGCAATGACATTCTTGTTAATAACACATTAGACAAAGGTTATTTAGTTAGTGTTTTCTCTTTTAATATATTAGGGATGATTTAAATAAAAGCATAAGATCAGTTAGATATGTATATATATTTTTTAAACATGTCAAAAATCAACGACTTTGATGAAAAATAAAATCATAAATAAAGAAAAAATATAGCATTATTTAAGCAAGTTTTGGTCGGAAATAAAACAAAGAATGTATTATTTCTCACTGATAATTTGTTGCCTTCTTCATCACTCTCATCACACTATTGTTTACTGTAACCTCAATTGAAGACCGAATCCATTGTTCATGACACAAAGACTTTAATCATTTTCGTTTATGTTGGAACTTTTTCTGGTAAGCAAAAACGATTCCTAAGAGTTAGGAAACTACACCAACTACCAACCAGCTCTGGTTCCATCCTACTCCTAAGTCTTATTCCGGTAAGTTCCTTTAAGAGAAGTTTATAATTACCTGTCGGAAGTCTAAAATTTGAATTTTGCATATAGATCTTCTCAAAAATTGAAGAAAGAATTTTTTTTGGAAGTCGAATTTGCATTTACGCTTCCATTTCACAGAATTTGGAGAATTCTTCTAAAACCCATAGGAAATCATCTACTCGATCTTGAATTTTGGTAGTTTAAAGAGAAGAAGAAGAATCGTAGAAGATAAATGTCTGCAAACGGAATGTAGGGGTGGCTATTATAATGACGTTACTATAAGTCCATTGGTTATGTCCTTTTGTGATTGAGTATCTTAGGTTCCAATCTTAAATCTGCGGAGTAGGTAGTTTTTTTCAAAAATTGTATTTTTAAACTAGGGGGTGATCCGCGCTATGCGTGGTTGTGTTAGTTTTATTGTTTTTCCGCAAATTTAATATTGTTTCAAAGATATTATACACATATTACTTAAATATAATTAGAGTTAGGCCAATGTTTTGTACCATCTTGTTCCATCTCGTCCCATTTCGTTCATTTTCATCTTGTACGTTCTTTCCCATCCCGTTTGTCATGCATGTCATGTCCCGTTCAGTCATATCCTATTCCATTATGATTTTTTCCATTTTGTTTATTATTGTCTCGTTCCCTAAATATAATTAGGGTAGACATAATTCTATCTCATTCCGTTCCTTTTCATATTGTCATGTTCTTTCTCATCCCGTTTGTTCTGTCCGCCCCATCCAGTCCCATCATATCTTATTATGTTCATTTCCATTTTATCTTATCTCTGTCTCATCTCTAAATATAATTAGGGGTAGGCAAAATTCCCGTCCCGTCCCTTCCCATCCCATTATGTCCTTTTTCATCTCGTCCCGTCCAATCCCGTCATATTCTATTTCTTTTCATTTTGTCCCGTCCAACATTTCTGTCTTGTCCCCTCTCATTATATTTTTATTCGTTTTTCCGTTCCACCCCTAAATATAATTAAAGGTAGGCGAAATTTCGGTCTTGTCCTATTCTGTTCTTTCCTTTAGATCTCATCTCGTCACTTAATATCATAAGAAGTACAAAATTCCCCACTCTTCCGATTCCATTTTTTTTCGTCTCGTCATATTTAATCTTGTTTCTTTTCATCCAAAAATACTATAGAAAAAACAGTGTTCTTTGTATAATAAAATTTTATTTTTATTATTATTATTATTATTATTATTATTAAATAATAGTTTTATGATTTATACATAATATTTTTTTTTCTTTTACAAAAATTGACTTTTCAAATTCTTGCAAAAACTATTGTATTATTTAATGATTATATTAATGAATGATCATAAAGAATTAAAATATAAGAAGAGAAAATATAATAAATTAAAAATAATAAATACAATGCTGACATAGCCAATTGGTGAATTTAGAAGCACCTATTTTGGGTGAGGTGGCAACACCAGAATAGAATCATATCAACTTTATATATATAGATATAGATGGGTTTCAAAACTTTTTTTTTGCTTTCAGCCAAAAAAAATCATGTTGAGTGAGTTATAAAATAAAAAGGGTAAAGTTGAAGTACTACTTTTAGGTGTAACTGGTGACCAAGGAATGAGGGGGAATAAGACAATTCCACTTCATTCCTTAAAAATTACACTATTTATAAAGAATGTGTATTCCATATTATTCCTTGCCATTCCATATTAATTAGGGAATTATAGTGTTAAAATATTCCTTATAAAATATGAGGAGGAATGAGTTCCATATATTTTATTCCTCTTCATTCCATTCCTTCTCATTCATTTTGTTCATTTACAGGTAGCCTTAGAATCTAAACGTAGTAGATAATTAACATAGTATAATTTAAATGTAGTAGATAATAGTTTTTTTTTTTTTTCTAAACTAACTAAAAGATTCGGAAAATCCAATTTTTTTAAGTAAAAATAGAATAAAGATAAGTTTTTCGGTAATTTTACATATTTTTCCTTTATCTTGCATGTTTTCGTGTATTCGGATAAAGAAAACCGATAAAAACCGCCCGAACAAGAACATAATTGTGCAAAAACCCGAACAAGTCTATAAAAATTTAGCCCTGAACCCGATAAGAACCAAACCGAAACAAAATCGAAATTTTTCTAAACCCTGAACGGGTCTAAAATTTAGCAACCGAAAAGACCCAATCCGAATAGAACCGACCAAGGCTAGCTAGATAGAGGGAAGGCTAATAGGGGGTGGGGGTCAGCAGCAAAAAAAAAAGAAAAAAAAAACTGTGTTAGTTGGTGAAGAAGCAAAAAAAGCAAAAAGCGAAAAACCCTACTCAGAGAAGAAGTCCGGGAATTCCGTCGAACACTTGGGCTGCGTTTTAAAGTTTTCCGGATGGCGCCTTTTGTCTAAAACCTCTCTCTACCTCTCTCTCTCGCTTTCTCACTCTCTCCAGAGATCTATCTCCCCCACCATGTTCGGCACTCCGTCTTCCTCGTCGGCGTTCGGCACTGCGTCGTCCACACCGGCGTTCGGTGCGTCTTCAGCCTTTGGCTCGTTTTCTCCTTCCCCGGCGTTCGGTACACCATCATCCACGCCTGCGTTCGGAACGCCGTCGACATCTTCCTTCTCCACTGGCGGATTTGGCTCCTCACTCTTCTCTACTCCCTTCTCATCCCAACAG